AGTTTCCTAGAAGTCCTTGGTAACTTGATAATATTCCTTTGTTCTAGAGCTTATCTTTATACAATACAATGTTGCATTATAGTTGAAATAATTCTAAGTCTGAAATGTATACAGTTAAATTTTCATATAACAACTCCCTTTTTCTAAAAAAAGTTGATGTCATACATCGACTTTTACAATTAATTAAAAGATTACAAAGATTACATATGTTTAAGATTATTTGAGTAGATAATTGAATAGTTATTATAACTTGTAATTGGTTAATATAAGGGTTGATTTAAGTAAGTTCAATCTCGTCTTCCTGTTCTTCAGGGCGGATTGATGGTCTTCTTCGGGGTAGAATGCTTGCAAGTCTAGAAAATCTTTTCCTAGGTCTGGGTGGAGACGGTGGAGCATTTGGCGAAAATGAANGGGGGTCAATTGAAATTTTGTTTGTTTGAATTTGTTTCGGTAAAATTTCAGGATCGGTTTGTAAATTTTCAGTGACTTTAAATAAGGGGATAGTTTTGAAATTTGTTACTAATTGTTTGTTTTTGATGTCGATGATGCAATCATAGTGTTCTAAAAAATCTGAGCCTAATAGTCCGTCAAATTCAATGTCAAGATTATAAATGTACACTTTGTGTGGATCTCCTGATGTAAAGGGAATAAGAGTCGATTCGTTTAAGAAAATTTGTTGTTCTGTGATACCTTGAATTGCTACAGTTTCTTGAATGCGTTGGGGATATTTTTGACAAGTTTTTGGTTTGAAAATTGAAATTCCTGCTCCAGAGTCAATTAGTAATTTAAAAGTGTTAGTGGCGTCTTTTATATAATATAAATTTTTTGAGTTAACTGTTAATAAAGGATTTTTATTGACAGTTTCTTTGTTTACAGAAATGTTTGTTCTTGGCTGCTGTTGTTGTTGTGCTGAGTTTTGTTTAAATTCATAGTTTGGAATTGGGTTTGGATTTCTGATGTTGGGTCCGGGGGATCTTGAATGTTGGGATTTAACTGAAAATCCTGATTCATGTCGTTATAATCAAATTGATGAGCAGTATCATCAACATATTCCTGATAGTACTCGTTTTCATTAAGATGAGCGGTATCATCTTCATAGTTTTCTTGATAGTATTCGTTCTGATAAAGAGTATTATCGTTTTGATAAACAGTATTATCATTATAGGTTTCGTTAATAAGGTGTGTCCTTTGTTGGTTAAAATTTGGGTTTCGTTGAATTACTGTGGGTCTTGGTTGATTAAAATTTGGATTTGGTCTCATTGTTAGTTGTCTAATTTGGGGATTGTTTTGTTGAAGGTTTGTTTGTGGTCTTGGATGGAATGCTGAATTTTGATTTTGTTGAAAATGTGGTCTTATCACGTTTTGATTTGAAAACCGTGGGTTTGCGAAGTTTGGATTTTGAAAATTTGGACTTTGAAAATTTTGAAAATTTGAGGTGAATCTAGTTTGTTGTTTTATGCGGCATTCATTTATTAAATGACCTTGTCTCTTGCAAAACGTACAAGTTTTTTGAGCGTTTACTTGCGGTTTTTTCACTTGATTTGCGATATTAGGTTTGTGGAATTTTTGAGAATCAAAATATGACAATTGCAATTCCCTTTTTATCCTGGATATTGCTTGTAACATATCTTGCGGATTACTAGCACGAATGATAGAACCTAATTTTGGATCTAAACCCGTGAGTAAAGTGTTTAAAGTCATTGTTTCAATTAAGTTGGATTGCGCTAATTTTTGATCTGCGGTTAATTGTTGTTTCTGAATCGCGGCATGCATTTTTGCATTGTGGGTCTGTAATCTGGAAACAAAATTTAAAGCTGATTCGTTTTGATTTTGTGAAATTCCCTGTAAGTCTTGTACTAACGAGGTCAAATCTCTAGAATCTCCAAAATGTGTCTCTAAAAGAATTTTGATTTCTTCCCATGTATTTGGGTTTCTTGAATTTACAATTTCGGCTGCTTTACCTCTAAGTTTGTTTTTAACATGTAGAGTTAGTAGAATGCGCGGATTGTCGACTGCCATGTCGTATGCACATCTAACTGAATTTAAGAAAGTTTGCAAGAAAATCTGATTTCCATCATATTCAGGAACTATCGAAAATATTTCGGACAGTTTGTATGGTTCAATTACTTGTTCGTCTGCCATTTTTGTTTTATTCAGTTTAAATGGATTAAATTAAAAGGATTTTTAATAAAATTGGTCTCTTTACGTTTTTAGTTGAAGCAAGCGTGATAATTCTTTTATGCACTTACCAAACTGTTTTCATTCTTCTCGTGTCCAGCAGGCACAAAGTTCTCTACCAGTGAGGCAAATCCGTGTTCTGGAAGGGGTGCTTTGGAACCAGGCGTAGATTTGATTGGAATGGGTTGAACAAGGGGACGACTACCAGTGAGGGTGACTTCCGTGTTCTGGCGGTGATCCTTGTTTTTGGGTTTCTTTCTTGAGTTTCTTGTAATTTCTTCTGTTTCTTGGTTTTCTTGATTTTTCTTGTTCGTTTTTCACCAAGGAATTGAAATTCGCCGTTGTCAGTGAGGAAAGCCCGTGTTCTGACGACGTGTGAAAGATCCGTACGACTGCGCCAATTTGTTAGATCACTTGGATCACTTTTAACTTTTTAAAAAAACTTTATTTTTCACTACAAATAATTTGTTTATTTCACTATCTTTTACAATCTGGGAGTTTTTACTTTGAACTTTGATTTTTGAGTTTAATTACTTATTTTAATATGACACAGAGTTGTGTGACAACGCGACAACGAATTAAGGTGTATACGGCGATGCAACGACTAACTAAGGTGTTTCTGCTTTGTTACCAGGGCTTTTTATAAGTTCGTTTAGTCTTAAGTCAGCAAAAGCTGATGAGGTGTAATTAAGTTTCCTAGAAGTCCTTGGTAACTTGATAATATTCCTTTGTTCTAGAGCTTATCTTTATACAATACAATGTTGCATTATAGTTGAAATAATTCTAAGTCTGAAATGTATACAGTTAAATTTTCATATAACATGTATTTTCTATGTTTATGTCTTTTTATACGTTTATGCTTCTTGGATCCACAAAAAAGTACAAGTATAATGAAAACACTTCTAAGACATTAATTCACTATTCACATATTTGAATCAAAATTATATTTATGTTATTCACTATATTTTCGATTTATTACGGGAGACCACTTTAAAATAACCTAGTGTTTTAAAGGACTACATACACAATGCAAAAATTGTAATTTTTAATAACTTTTAAGTATCAAGAAATTCAGGTCTAATTTATTTTTTTCCATGCTGTACACACATGATCATGTTAAGGTAGTCACAAGAAATGTATGAGGATTCCAAAAGCAAGACAGTCTTTTAACGTTTTCTTCTATCTACGTTCATCTTATTGAAAAAAATTACTAATATTTATTATCGGTTATTAGTTTATAGCAATGGCGGCTCATGGATCTAGAAATAGGGAGTCAGTTTTAAACAGTTAATTAAAACGACTTATAGGTATGACAAATCGCATTTTTTGTGCTATGAGAAATAATTGAGAAACAAAAATAAAACAACTTTTGTTCAGATATTATTATAGCACAGGTTGCTAATGAAATATGCCGTGTTGACTTTCCGGTTTTACTTATCTGTTGATGTTTATACACTAAAACACATCCAGTTGATACTAAATAACTTATATCGGGTGTCCGAAAATTTATGCAAGATTTGAATTTTGCGCCATTTGTGTGGTAATGTGTTGCCAACAAAAAAAAAAAGACAGCGTGACAGGGTTCAGGGTTATTAAAAATGGAGCGAAAGAACAACACATTTTCATTGTTGAGTAATATTTTATAAATAATGTCAGTTTGGCAGGTACAGTTCGCAATTTTCGTACAAAATTTGGTCGGAACAGTGATTTGACTTCATCAACAATGAACAGATTAATTGAAAAATTCAGTGAGACTGGATCAATTGGTGATATTAAACACACTGGCCGTCCTTCAACAAGTCGTTCAACACAAACATCGTTATCCCGATATGACAATCCAGTTTATTGTGCTAAATTGTAAGATACGGATATAGACGACATGTGGGATGAACAAGACGGTGCCACATTTCTTGGTCATGTAATTTCACGCTTTGATGATCAGAATTGGCCGCCCAGATCATGCGATTTATCTCGGACTTGTTTCTTTCGGTTTTTTTGAAGTCTAGGACTATAAACATTGTAAGACCATGAAGAAGAAATATGGCAAGAATGGATGATCGACTATCGATATCGGACTATTTCGTGCCGATTCGTACTAAGACTATATCCCCGCTCTCATTTTCTTTCTCTTTCATTTACATGCTTTATGCGTATCGTCTCTTGCATCCCTAGCCGTTAATTTAGATACGAATAGGAATCTTGTCTTTGAGCTTCGAGGACAGTGTAGAAATTGTCTTGCATCCCATGGCCACTATATAATAGATATATACCTACTTTTTACATTAAAAATACAAATATATTCTTAAAAATATAAATGTTTGCCAATTTCTTGTAATACATACTTCGAATATTATTATCGAATACCTATGTCCAGCGGACATTGACCAAATGACCCTATACATACATACGCCACAGTTAATGTTTCTCCTCTTAAGTAACAATTAATTATTACTTTTATTGCAAAAAAATCAAATAATTTGAAAAGTAATTAGAGAATTTAATATGTAGGTACCACGTTACAGTAAATAAAAAATAGAAACTCACATGAACGTTAAACATTACTGTATACAATATTGAAGTTACAGATATACAATTTCACATAATTTTATGTAATCAAATAATTCTTTACGGTGCTAATTGGAAATTTAACTGTAAATAATAAAATGAAAGTGTCACTTTAGCATCCATAGTGTTGCGTCACCGTATGGGCATATAATTGCTCAGCAAACTTAAAGCTTTTAGGTAGTGCAAATGTAGAGGGGATGCAAAATTAAAAATATGTATAAATATTCTAATTTTTAATCCATTAAACAGTTAAAACTCAATAGATCTAACATTAAAATGAAAGTGGTAGGTATCCGAATATATAAATACTAAATGACAAAACAAAATATCCGAGTGTTTAAGTAAACTAAGTTATTTTTCGTGAGACTTGTGATGTATTGTGATTAAGTGTGCTTATTTGATGATAAAGGTTTGATTTAATTCATTTGAATGGGTCATGGATATGGCACATTTAAGTAATAAGCCATACTTCAAAGACAGCTAGATTTAGATCTACTTAAGTTAGTATAATTTTGTTTTCATAAAAAGTTCAAAGAAAATGTTTTATACAATTTGTTTTTAAGATAATTATTTTACATTTTTAAATATTTCAATGAAAAGACACAGGATTATTTCTTGCCTAAAATATTTAATCTAATTAATCGAATTAAGCTTATATCTTACGATTTATGTATACTAACTTACCTCCATTGAAATGCCTACTACGATACAGGCGTCTAAATGTTTCCAGAACTACAGAGTAAGGAATATATCTCATCAGGCGTTGGTGTTTGAATTGAATGAAATTAAGCCAAACTAAGAAATATTTAATATATTTACAAATTTAGGAAGTAGGTCGTTTAACTGCATTAGAATGTGCCAAAAATGTATCTGTTCGTAATTGTGAGCAATAGCAGCAGAAATTTCATATCAATCTTTCTCTGCACTGATATGTTTAAACCTAATCTCTCCTCAAACAAATTTTATTGAAATGCCAAAAAAAATTATAGAAGTACAAGTATATTATTTAAAAAAATGACATATAACAGTAGTGTCAACTCTTTTGCAATGGTATATTAATATATTTAAGCTTACCTACCTTCCTATACCAATTATTACTGAAACATCTTAAAAAATGACGAGGATATTAAAAACAAAACGGATATTTCAATTAATATCCTCAACTTTCTTAGGAAGCAAAATAATGTCATATATATATATCAATTTTCATCAAAAAATCTACCCTTGAGGTTTGATCTATTGCTTCCGCGAAATCTAATCGAAAATTAAAATTTGCATATCATAAGTAGGTACTCAAATTGAAATACGTTTCGACAAATTATAATATTTAATTTTTAGTTGAAATTAAAACAAAGGCTTTAAACCCTTATAAAATAGAATTACGTATAGCGCACACAAATGTAAATGTAATTAATATTATTCTTTTCTATAAGAATTAAAATATATCTAAGTACATCACAAAATATTATTGGCAATTGTTTCAATATCATTGTCACATTGAAATTGTCAGGCACATGATACTAATTTGGGGAAAAATCGAATCGTAAAAAATTATTTCACTAATAAGATACCTATTGAAAAAACGTTTTGAAGAAAGTATACACAGTGACATACTATTCTTGACAATCTTCCATTACTTTCATTTTATTAAGATACGATTTTTTTCTTTTAACAGATTTGGCATTTTTTTAAATCCAAATAATAAATTATCAAACAATAGTATAAACACATATATCACGTACTTGTCAGTTATTAATTAACTTTATCGTGTAAAACATAAAATTATATTAAAATCATATTGCGAAATTTTAAAAATATTTGTTTTTCATAATATTTCTATGTACCTACCTAACTATTAGAACTAAAATTTAAACCATCTGAATTAAGAGAATAACAATTTGAACACTTAAATTTGCGAATAACATTTCGGTATTTATATATGTAATACTTATAAACTTCATTATAGTCAAACTATGTTGAAAGGTAAAAAACTTTTTTTTTTATTTTCAATTTTGCACACTGACGGATCCATATACATATTGTTATATATTTTTTCTTTATATTCAGATAAATATGAAATAGGTTAGGATATGTATGATACAAATAACTAATGGGATAAACTTACAGTTATTCCACTCTGTCCAAGTTCTCCAGTCATTATACACTTTTGACATTTTGTATAATGACCAAATAATGACATCCCCCCATAACATATACACTTTATGATAAAACGTAAAACTTTGTTTGTATAGGCACTCATCACATTGTCTCTTGCTGTCACTTGTTATACCCAGCAACAGACAGCCAGTGAACCTATTCCCATCATACGATATGATAATGAAGGGGTGAACGCCGATGGTTCTTACCAGTGGAGGTAACGCAAATATTCCAGAATTCAAAAACTATTGCAATTAGAAGTTAAATACTGTTTTCTAATGTATTGCTTCATAACTTGCAGTTTAGAAACTGGAAATGGTATTGTCGCACAAGAACAAGGAAAACTGAAAAATCTAGGTGAAGAAAATGAAGCTCAAGAAGTTCAAGGATCTTATCAATATACAGCAAATGATGGAACTCCTATTCAAGTTTCGTATCTTGCAAACGAAAATGGGTTCCAACCTCAAGGGGAGCATTTACCTACCCCTCCACCAGTTCCAGCTGCTATACAAAGAGCATTAGAATTTATACAGGCTAATCCACAACCAGAAGATAAAAAATCATAATTTTATTTGTGTAATGGAAATAAATGATTTACATAACAATTAGGTACTTATCATTGGCTATTTTTTAAACATGACGTTTTATGATTATGTAACAACGAAGAGGAAATAATAAATATAGTTAGATGTACATGCGCCTTTCATATGTGCTGATAGTTTTGTGCATTAAGGGTTTACTTAGAACAAACAAAAAATTGTTCTTGCAAAGTTTCATATAATAGCTGATGATACATCAAATATAAGCATAAAATTACAAGATCCCATGGATATACAGTAGTATGGCATAGATTTAAAATAGCAGTATTTAACTTATCTTTGCTTAATCATTATTCAAACTCTTAAAAAACTGCCACTTTCAACTTTAAGTCAGAAGTCAGTGAGAATTACTTCCTTTCTCAGATATTGCTGGTTTGGCAAGCTAAATTTATAAAATCAGCTCCTTGATCAATCCTTCTAAAGATTAAAGTCCATTACACCTTCTAGAGGCTACCTTTTTGTTTTTCTGTAATGTTTAAACTGTGGCCACACATGCCAACATTTTTCCAGCTGTGATCATGCGCAGAAGTAATACACAAATTACTTCTGCATTCTACTATAATACATAATAATTATAGTATTATAGTACTTCTAATTTTGTAACTTAAGTTAGATAAAAGTTCAAAATATTATGTTTTGCCGAACCACTATTCTATTCACCACTTAACTATTATCGGGCATCCCAAAATTCACGTTAGATTTGAATTTTGCGCCATTTGTACAGGAAAGTGTTGCCAACGGAAAAAAAAACGTGACATTTGACAGTTCAAGGTTATTAAAAAGTAGTGTTGTTGAGCAGTATTTTAAAAATACTGTAAAGTATTGGCAGCTACAGTTCATACAAAATATGGTCGGAATAGTGATTTAACTTCATCGACTATGAAGAGATTAGTCGAAAAATTCAGAAAGACGGGGTAAAAAAGTGATGTTAAACACTCTGGCCGTCCTTTAACAAGTTGTCAACACAAAACATTGAAGCAGTTCGTAAGCGTTGCGAGAGTCCAGGTACATCAAATCGGTACGGTGGTCAAGAATTGGATATTTTGTGAAGCTCTCTATAGCGTATTCTCACAAAAGTTTTGCATCTTTATGCTTATACAAAATTCAATTGACTCAAGAACTGAAACTGTGACGTTATTTGTGTATTTCCTTCATCGTCCGTCACTATGACATCTGAGCGGCAGTGGTTACCTAGGGCGCCAGTTTATTTATAGTGCAGAAACACCACTACTCGAGCGGCTACAATGAAGATACGGTATGTCCAGAGGGTCTAGAGAGAGTTAGACTTCACACACACACACACACACATGAATAAAAGTTGCAATTTGACAAATATTTACATTTATTATTGGTTCAGTCGTATATACAGTTTTATCCTATTATGCTAAAGTTCGGTGATGTCTGGATTAAGCTTTGGTAAAGCTTTGGTTTGTTAGAACTGTGCGTCGCAGACGACATACGCGGTTAGCAGAATCTGTCGCGTTCAACTTAATCTGTTTTGAAGGGTGGGTGTTTTGTTAGATTTAGTCTTGCGATTGTATGCTGGTAAGTGCAGACGAAAATACTTATTATTATTTTGGCAAAAATTTGTATTTATCATAACAATGGCTGAACATTTTTTGCTGACAATACTCATAGAGGAAGAAGAACATGAAGAAGATCTCCTTTTGAATTTAAATAGGTGTCGTCGTCAAAATAAAGGTGAAGATCGAATGTTTTCCAACAGATGTTTGGAAAGGATGGTATACATATACAATGGCAGATGTCTCGTACGAGATCAATTAATTCTTCCTTTGGTGAAAACTTGGTTGCCATTTTAAAATTTGTTAAAAATAAGAAGTGTACGCTGTTAGCTCAGCTGAACGACTGCGTTGAAATCAAATCGAATTTGATTTCGACTGAACCGACGACGCACATAATTTTCTGCCTACCGTCAGTTAACCTGAGCAGACTCTAACAAACCAGCTACGTATCTTCTTGTGTTCTAAATTTCAACGTAAGTCCGACGCGCACAACTGACTGTCTGCTTTGCGTCGCCTACATCTCTAACAAACCATAGCTTAAGTTAGAGCTGTGCGTCGCAGACGACATATGCGGTTAGCAGAATCTGTAGCGTTCAACTTTATCGGTTTTGAAGGGGGGAATATTGTTAGATTTAGTGCTTGTGATTGTATGCTGGTAAGTGCAGACGAAAATATTTATTATTTTTACAATTTTTTTTTTTCATGACAATGGCTGAACATTTTTTGTGACAATACTCATTTAAAAATAACGTGAAAAAGATTTTTTAAATTTAATTAGATGTCGTCGTCAGAATAAAAGTGAAGGTGGTATGTTTTCTAACAGACGTTTGGTATACAATGGGGGATGTTCTCGTACCAGATCGATTAATTTCTCGTCTTCCTCTGGTGAAAACTTGGATGCGATTTTAAATTTCGTTAAAAACAAACGCTTTATTAGCACTGTACGCTGTGAGCTCAACTGAACGACTGCGTTGAAATCAAATCCAATTTGATTTCGACTGAACCGACGACGGACATAATTTTCTGCCTACCGTCAGTCCACCTGAGCAGACTCTAACAAACCAGCTACGTATCTTCTTGTGTTCTAGATTTCAACGTAAGTCCGACGCGCACAACTGACTGTCTGCTTTGCGTCGCCTACATCTCTAACAAACCATAGCTTAAGCAGAGTCTAACAAACCAGCTACGCATCTTCTTGTGTTTTAGATTCCAACACTGTCTGCTTTGCGTCGCCTACAGCTCTAACAAACCATAACTTAAAGCTATGGTTTGTTAGAGCTGTATGCGACGCAAAGCAGACAGTCAGTTGTGCGCGTCGGATTTACGCTGAAATCTAGAACACAAGAAGATGCGTAGCCGGTTTGTTAGATTCTGCTCAGGTGGACTCACAGAAGGAAGAAAATTTTGTGCGTCGTCAGTTGGAAGTTATTGGATTAGGATTTCTGAAACTCCTGAAGTAAATGTCGATGAAAATATACCTAGTGAAACCGTAATATCTATCTGTGATAAACCAAGTACATCAGTACAGCATGGTCAATCAATACAAAAAAGTCGCAAACGAAAAAGACAACCTCATTCCCCCATTTTAAGAGAAGGAACGATATTCTTGTTGAAATGAAGAATGATTTGAAAAAGTACTATGAACAGAAATTAGAAATGGATAAAGAGAAATTGGACCTTTCCAGAAAAAAGTAGCAGACAAAGAAAAAAGGACAGTACTTCTTGAAATGCAGAAGATTTTGCAAACAATAGAAGGGGAAAATTAAAAAAATTGTATTATTTTAGTACCTTTTTAAATATAGTACAAAATCGTATTATAGCCTTATTTCATTTTTGATATTGTATAAAGATGTTATGAATGATTATACATACTTTATTTATCAGAATATTTTTTAAGTTTATTTATTGTAACTAAAAAGTGAAATATTTATTATATTTTTATTTTCTTAAAGCTGCCTTTTAGTACCCATCTACACTGGCGAGGAAATCCCGACAATATACACGCCTATAGCTACATGTATCTCTCTCGCTACATAAGCTTGTGGATAATGAAATGAATTATGATTTTTTATTAAAAACACATTTTATTTGTTGTTTAAATGTTCTAATAAATAAATCCAAATAGAACACCTGTTTAATAATAAT